CCTAGGAGGGTGGTGAAGTACTGGAACGCATTACCTATAGAAGTGGTGGCATCTTCATCCCTACAGGTTTTTAAGTCCCATCTTGACAAAGCCTTGGCTGGGATGATTTAGTTGGGATTGGTCCGGCTTTGGCAGGGGTTGGACTCGATGACCTCCTGAGGTCTCTTCCAGCCCTAGGGTTCTATGATTCTATAAATGTAAACAAATCATTTTCTAGCAAAAGAAATGTCATTTGTTTAAAGTCTGCAGTAGTCTGGGTTAGAATAAAAGATTTAATCTGACTCCCTTTGACTCCCATCTTTGACATCTAGAAGTTTTACAGAGTGGGCATGTAATGCATTTATCAGGGGTGGGATAGAAAGATTTTGTGATCAAGTACCCTACTGCTGGGGTTTCTCTTATAATTGGTGTCCCTAACCTCGTTGTCAGAAGCTGGGAATAGGCAACAAGGGTGCAGATCATTGGATTGATTACCTGTTCTGTTCATTCCCTCTGGAGCACCTGGCATTGGCCACTGTAGGAAGACAGGATACTGGGCTAGATAGACCTTTGGTCTGACTCAGTATGGCCATTCTTGTATTCTTATGCTCTGCAAAGTGCTATGGCAAATCACTCTCTGTTACTATAGACCAAATCTGAAGCACGTCCTGTGCTTACTAGCTTAATATGTTTAGTCTCTAATTCTTCTAAGTGGAGTCAGTCTGAAATAGGGCCGTCTAACTGTGTAGAATATTCAGATCTCTCCAGTTCTTAACCTTGTATAATTTACTCTGACTGATTCTCAGGCTTTCACCTTTCTACGGGAAACACCCATATAAATTTCACCTATACCAACTAGGGAGAAGGGCTGACAGGAGTTGAATAAAATTCAGGACTCTAAAAAGAATGTCGATCTCAATTAAATTAGCTAGATCCATCAGGTTCACTGGTAGGTCATGCCATCTGGTGTGATACACCCTTAGGTTCTGGAAGAGCAGAAATAAATGAAGAGAAAAATGTTTAGTGACTTGGGATGACAAGTGCATTCTAAAATACTCATAGCCCTTGGCAAAGCAGTTGGCTTGCCAAACATTTGTTTTAACAATTTCCCATCTTTTCTTATGGTCCAAATCTGCTCCCATTAAGTCAATTGAAATTTTGCAGAATGAGAGCAGGATTGGGCCCTGACTTTATTGATGTTTGCGTCACTCAGTCATTGCCTGCTGCTTCACTAATTCCTCTCTCTTTTCCACAGCTTGGCAATAGAGTTAGTTTCTAGTTTCTTCCAGTTTCTAGTGAAATCTGAAAATTTAGGCTTAAAATAAAGGAGAAGAGTTTTGTGATTATACCGCTAGGTCAAGACTCAAGAGATCTGGTTTGATGTCTGCTTTTGTCAGACTCATTGTGTGACTCTGGGCAAGTCATTTATTATCTCTGTGCCTCTGTTCCCTATCTGTAAAATGAAGGTAGTAGTAATTGCAGGAGTGTTGAGTGGACATATTAAAAATGTTTGTGAGACACCTGGATGCTACAGTGATGAGAACCATATAAGCACTAAAGGCTTACAGGCATTAACTACTCATACAACTGGTGTTATTCCTGATTAACTCCTATTCTGGAATAAGAGTTAATTGAGAATAACTCCACATGTAGATAAATCTTCAGATGAGAAAATAGGGGAGTCCTGGGATGGATAGGAGGAAGTTTCAGTGATTACTATCAATTCAGGACATTATTTGTCTTAAAAGGGAATGGGATGAACTCTTTCTACTGATTTCTTATGTAGTGTGGCTAATTATTAGACAACAATTGCATGCTGGTAATTATGTTTCAGGAAGGCGAAATGTCTGACTAGAAGAGATTAAACAAAATATATGGATCAATGTCTTCTACATAGCCTAGTTATATGAAAATTAGAAGTATCTTGTTAACAATATTTAAGATCTTGCCAAAGGTCTACTTTTGAGTGATAACAGCTAATATAGACCCCAAAGAAAGAAATTTGGACGTTATTGTGGATAGTTCTCTGAAAACATCCACTTGACATGCAGCAACACACAAACAAACCCTAACAGAATATTAGGAACAGGATACATCTCCGAGAATACCATGCCCAAAGTCAGCAGCAAATCATTGCTGTGTATACACAGATGCACACTGACAGAGCACACCAGACAGAGCACACTGTGTGCACCCTATTACTGCAGTTTGCATAAAATCTGCATTACCAGATGCAGGGAAAGGCTGAAGAGTAATCCTCCTGAGGACAAGCCCCAAGGGTCTGTGAATTAAAAAGAATACTTCTGCTCAGTGTTTGCCTGTAGATTCTAGCTCATAAGAATGGTTATACTGGGTTGGTTCAATGGTCCATCTAGCCCAGCTGCCTGTCTCTGACGGTGGTAAATGTCAGATAATTCAGAGAGAATGAACAGAGCAGGGCAATTATTGAGTACTCCACTCTGTCATCCAGTCCCAGTTTCTGGCAATTAGAAGTTTTAGAGACATCCAGAGCATGGGGTTGTGTGTCCAGGACCATTCTGGCCACCAGCCATTGATGGAACTATGCCCCATAAACTTATCTAATTCTTTTTTTAATCCAGGAACCTTTTGGCCTTCATAACAATCCCTAGCAATGAGTTTCCCAAGTGGACTGAGCATTGTATGAAGAAGTACTTCCTTATGTTTGTTTTGAACCTCCTGCCTATTAATTTAATTTCATGACCTGTGGTTCTTGTATTATGTGAAGGGGTAAGACACATTTTCTTATTCACTTTTTCCACTCTGTTCTTGATTCTATAGATCTCTATCATACATGTTTTATCTTCGTCATCTCTTTTCCAAGCTGAACAGTCTCAGTCTTTTTAATCTCTTATCTGGAAGTTGTTTCATCCCTTATTCATTTTTGCCAATTCTAGTGTGCGTATATAATAAATATAAAATAAAATATAATTAATTAACTGGGATAATCAGAACTGCACGCAGGATTCAAGGTGTGGGCATAACAAGGGATTTATATAGTGACCCTGTGGTGGTTTATTATCTAGCCTATTCCTAATGGTTCCTAGCTTTTTACACTGCTGTTGCACATTGGCCAGTGGTTTTCACAGAGATCTATGATGACTCAAAGATCTGTCTCCATTAGTAACAGCTAATTTAGACTTCATCAGTCTATATGTTTAGTTGGGATTATGTTTTCCAATGTCCTTTATTTTGCAGGTATCACTTAGACTCCATCGTTTTGGGGATTGTGTTTTTCAATATGCATTACTTTGCACTTATCGACATTAAATTTCTTCAACCGCTGTTTGCCCAGTCACCCAGTTTTGTGAGAGCCTTTTATAACTCTTTGCAAGTCAGCTTTGGACTTAACTACCTTTGAGTCATTTTGTATCCTCCGTAAACATCCTCACCTCACTGTTTACCCCATTTCCCAAACCATTTATAAATATGTCCAACAGAACTGGCCCCAGTCAATTCCCAGAGTGATCATGCTATTTACCTCTTCCCACTGTGAAAACTGACCATTTTATTCCTACCTTTAAGCAGTTACTGATACTCCGCACGGCAGACGTGCTGGTCTTATTGGCTAGTAAATTTTCACTGGCATAATCACAGGGCGATTATACCTTGAGTTATTAAACCACAAACATCTCCCTTAGGGCCAGGCATTATTCCTATTGTTTGATCTCGTCGCTGTTAACGGAAGAGCAGCTCCACTCGCATGCACTTAAATGTAGCATCTCTCTGGGTGCAACCCCTGCACTGTTTGAAGCCAGTGCCTAGTGCTCTTGCAGTGACGCCCAGGGGGGCCTGGCGGCGGGGGGGAGCAAGCAGCTCATTCCAGCAGACCGGGCTGTAAGTGGGAGAGGCGGGCACATTGCTCCTTTCTTCTCCGCCCGCATT